CTCTTCCTGGTTTCAGCTGCCTTTCTCAAATTGGCTCTCAATGCTTTCCAGTAAGTACTGTTGACTAAATATTTAGTGGTTTTCTTGTGGCTTCCTTCTTCCTCATGAATGCTGTTACCATGTGGGCCTTGTAACTCTTTTCCTTACCTGCTTGTATTTTGGGGTTGATGGTGATGCTTTTACACTCAGTTTTGTTGTGTTACTCCATGAGTTTTTGGTTTTATTATCTATTTGCTTTGTTTGTTTGTTTTTTTGAGACAGAATTTCACTCTTGCCCAGGCTGGAGTGCAGTGGCACGGAGTCGGCTCGCTGCACCCTCTGCCTCCTGGGTTCAAGCAATTCTCTTACCTCAGCCTCCTCAGTAGCTGGGATTACAGGTGCATGCCATGTCACCTGGCTAATTTTTGTATTTTTAGTAGAGATGGGGTTTCACCGTGTTGGCCAGGCTGGTCTCGAACTCCTGACCTCAAGTGATCTGCCCACCTCGGCTTCCCAAAGTACTGGGATTATAGGTTTTTTGCTTTGTTTTTATATTTGGGATTCAGAAAGGATGAGAAACTATGTTGCTGTCACCATTTTGTCTTGCTGTTGTTTTTGTTTTTGTTTTTGTTTTGAGATGTGGTTTCGCTCGTCTCCCAGTCTAGAGTGCAGTGGTGCAATTTCGGCTCACTGCAACCTCCGCCTCCTGGGTTCAAGATACTCACCTGCCTCAGCCTCCCAAGTAGCTGGGTGATCGCCTGCCTCGGCTCCCCAAAGTACTGGGATTACAAGCGTGAGCCACTGCACCTGGCTTTTTTTTTTTTTTACATTGCTCTATTTACTCCTCTTCTGTCAAATCATAGCTCTCTTTGTTTTAATCTTTTCTTGCTCCTCTTGTACCCAAATTCAGCACTTGCCTTTCTGGTGAAGCTAGACTTCCTTTGACTTATATGACTCATACTGTATCTCTCTTTTTTGCATGGATTTTTTTGTTGTTGTTGTTTTTGAGATGAGAGTCTCACTCTGTCACCTAAACTGGATTGCAGGGGCATGATGAGGGCTCACTGCAGCTTCAACCTCCTGCACTAAAGCAATACTCCCACCTCAGCCTCTGGAGTAGCTGGGACCACAGGCATGCACCACCTGTGCCTGGCTAAGTTTTTAAATTTTTTGTAGAGATGGAGTCTCCCTATGTTGCCTAGGCTAGTCTTGAGCTCCTGGGCTCAAGCTATCCTTCTCCCACCTTGGCCTACCAGTATTGAGATTCTAGGCTTGAGCCACTGTGATCGGCCCATGATTTTCTTCTATTTTCATTTCACTTTTATACTATCTTTATATATGTATATGTCTTACTGTCAGACTGTATCACGTCTCAAAGCCGATCTATATTTTTTATGTTTTAATGTTCTTTTACAATGTCTAATATGATTTCTTTTCTTTTCTTTTTTTTTTTTTTTTTGAGACGGAGTTTCGCTCTTGTTGCCCAAGCCAGAGTGCAATGGCATGATCGCAGCTCACTGCAACCTCTGCCTCCTGGGTTCAAGCCATTCTCCTGCCTCAGACTCCCAAGTAGCTGGGACTACAGGCATGTGCCACCACGTTGGCTAATTTTTGTATTTTTAGTAGCTTTTTAAAAAAAATCCTGAGTGTCAGGTGTGAGGTAATAGAAGAAAGGTAGTGTTGTTGACAGCTTGTGAGTACTTAACTAATTTTAGTTGCATTGACTATGATAGTTGTGTACACATTTATAGGCAATTAGGAATAGGAAACACAATCAGGAGGTACTAATGGAGTAAGAAATGTTTGCTGAAGTCCTGGAAGGCCATCATTTCTTTTTTCTTCCTTCCTCAAAAGGCCTTCGTGGGTTCAGTTTCAATAAGAACTCTGTAGCAAGCTAATAGCTCCTTTTGAAAATGGAGTGCACTTAATAGCCATGTCATTGGAGCATCAAGTCCAAATGGAGGGCGGTGGGCGCCTGTGGATGGAGGCTTTTTTGCCAGAGGATTCAGTTGGCAAAATCATAATTCATACAAACATGTAGCTTAAAAGCATAATGAGGACTGTGGGATTCCAAAGGTAGAGAATGTGCTTCATCTTGCTGCCTAGCTTCCAACACAGTGTGTTGGTTTTGGGCTACTCTCATATGATGCGTATTTGCAGGATAGCTGACTTTTAAAGGATAAGCAGAATGTTGAAGTGACCATCATAGAGCCCCTGTTATTGAAAGAGTTCAGTAAGGTGTTCAGCCTACTTTTCGATGGTGGGAATCTGAAGAGACCAAAGCTTTTCCTTGACTTCCAGAGGAATTTGGTGTTGTAAATCTGTTTCTATACTTTCCAGAAACTTGTTGAGCAGGTCTTTGATTTTTATTGGAGTTTTTCCACCAGCTGTGCTGACGGAGGAGATAACATTACAGAGCTATTGAGACTGAGGCTTCTAATTTAACAGCCAATAGTGAGAGCTTTGGCAATCATAGGATAGAGGTACTGAGTCCTGACATACTTATCTGTGGCAAGTGGCAAGGGAGTTTAGGTCACCCCTCTGGGAAAGCACTTCAGACATATTGGAGACTTTGACACATGGATGTAAACTGGTCTTGATCCTTGGGCATGAATGTTATGGCAAAGAGGCATTAGAAATGTCCAGAACAGCCTACCAAGTACCATCAGTCTGTGTAGTGAATTTAGTCTGTAACAGCTGGGGCTATAAGAGCAATAACTAAACTCACTTGGCACTAATTCACTGTTAGCTTCCAGCTCTTATTAGCCTTTTTTTCACTGGCCTTGTAGGGCTTTTGTGTTGAGGTATTGCATCTCTTCCTACCCCTGGAACCTTTGAGTCCTTTATCGAAGCTGTGGCTTCCCTTTGTCCTTCTGGAATCCTATGCTGTTTCTATTGAACCACCCAGGAAAGAGACATGGTTCGGAGAGTGATTTATATGTCTCATTAGTATTTCTACGTGTTGCTCTTCTTGATTGGGGGAATACCTTTTGCACTTATGGATGGGTAAAGATAAGCATATAATACAGGGGATGGCAAACTTTTCCTCTAAAGGACCAGATAGTAAATGTTTTCGGGCTTTGTGGACCGCATTTAGTCTCTATCATATATTCTTCTTTTTTGGGGGGGAGGGTGGGGGTGCTAAGGAATATTTTAAAGATGCAACATTACTCTTAGCTCAGGTGTCATAATTTGCTGACTTCTGTTATATCATTTCCTCTTATACTATACTTCAGATGTCCAGGCAATGATGAATATACAGTTTAATTGCCCAAAGACCCCACCTACAAAGTCATATTAGCTTCCTTACCCCCTGAGAATCCTGCCAACTGAATCCTGGGTAGGATAGTGATCTGGGTGCCTGTATCCAACAGAGTCTTAAAAATTTGTGTTTTCTGGCTGGGCACGGTGGCTTATGCCTGTATTCCCAACATTTTGAGAGGCCAAGGTGGGAGGACTGCTTGAGCCCAGGAGCGTGAGACCCCATCTCTATTTAAAAAAATAAATCGTATCTTTTCCTCTCCTCAAATTCCTTTTAGCATGCTTGGATGAGTGCATGTGGCCATTGAGGCCTCTTGGGGATAGGGAGTGCACATCCCCATCTCTAATTATTTTTCTTCTTAAAGCACTGAGGTCACCTAATTGTTACAGTGGGGTAGAAATGAAGCTGACTGCCAAATTGGTGAGGAAGTCCTCTCCACCTAACCAGAGTAGGCTAGCTGCCAGCAGAGCATCCTTGGGCAGCTCTCTTTAAACATAGTTTCTGGTGCTTAACCTGCAGCCACCTCTTCAGTTTCTCTTCATTATTCAGGCAATAAAATGAAGACCCATTAACTGCCTAGTTGACTGTACAATTTTTCATTTTTTGACTTTGCTCAGATCCCATTAATTGGCCTGTGAGGCCTTTAATTTTCCTCTTCCGAATAGCCATGCCCCTAACAGCATCATATTCTCTCATCACCAAACTGTGAAGAACTATGAAAGAGGTGGAGCAGAAAAAACAGTTTCTCCTGCTGTAGTCTCACAATACAGAATGCTTCTGTGACCCATAAATGTAGAGCGATTTCTCCCCACCAACAAGCAAGCTATCAGTTTTGCAGTAGACATCAGCTGCTTATCCTCTAATTCTGTTCAGTTTGGACGCTGTCTACCTGGAGATGGCATCAGATTACACAGTTTGGGAACTCAGTCCCACAGGACTGAGCCTCACTTTTGAAACTGATTCTAAGCCCCAGGTGCTTCTGTCCACCTGGCTATGACTTGGGGTTCCCACAGCCCCCTCCTTGGGTTGGATTAATTTGCTAGAGTGGCTCACAGAACTCAGGGAAACCCTTACTTATGTTTACTGGTTTATTATAAAGGATATTACACAAGTATACAGATGAATAGATAAATAGTGTGCAGTATGTCAGGGGATAGGGAGGCAGAGCTTCCCCAACCTCTTGGGCCTTTTATACAGAGTTCACTGGATAGGCATGATTGAAGCATGGACACCTGTATAGAAATGTGATTGGACAAAGGTATGATCTAACACTAATAGACTGAGTAGGGAAACCCAGGCAGGCCTGTGTGTTCACAATGCTTCTTGGTCTCTCTGTGCAACATTATTTTCTTCTGGGTATTGGGGTAGAACCCCTTCTGAAATGGGGGTTTTATGACCCACAATCAGACAAGGTAGGTCAGAGAATTTCTTTATGTCCAGCTCCATTATAGAAAAGTAGGAGAAGTTTAGAGCATATTTTTAATTTTTATGGCCTGTCTTGGGGAGAAAAAGGAGGGTAGGAAGGGTCCGAGAGAGATTCTGTTTTCTGAGGCCTAAAGCACCCCATTATAACAAAGGACTGTCATTTCACCTTTGTTACTCTGATGCTGTTCTGAAGCTGCATCAGGAACCAAGGACAAAAGGCCAAATACTTTAACAAAAGATACGCCTGTTTTTTTAGTTACTTAAAAAATAACAAGGACTATGGGAGTTGTGACTCAGGGACTGTGGACAAAACCAATATATGTATACATATATGTGTGTGTGTGTATATATGTGTGTGTATGTATGTGTATATATGTATGTGTATATATCATAATATCACAGAAGTCTGTTATTTGACCTTACTTGTAAAGTATCTAATTAAGAGATGCAACTTCTGGGTCAAGAGATAGACAGCTTATTACTTAGAGAATAGCTGTAACCAGAGTATCAGTAATTTTTGACCATTTCCCATAGGGCACTGCAAAGAGGGCCAGATAAAATCTGTTCGTGCTGTGTGTTGCATTACAGGAGAGGAGCCCTGAGCTTAGGGCACCTGAATCTTTTGTAATAGACAGTAAGCGTAGCTGACCTTTGCTTTCTGTCTTCTGAGGCTATTCACTATATGAGCAACCTTGAAAAGATAGTTCAGAATAATGGGCTGCCATTAGCCTAACTCAAAAGACATGCAGAAATAGGAAAGACTCATGCAGTATGGTTTCCTGACACATGAATGATTCTCAAATTATGATTGACTTTACACAATGTTTTTGATTCACAGCTAAGTTCAAAAGAGGTGTCCTTGATGGACAGACAACATTCTTCCAAGCTGTGAATCACAGGCTTAGGTTTCTTCCATCTTGTGACTGCCTTCTTTAAAATGCTGCCTGTATGGCTTGAATGCTTATTTTTGTTATCTATGTAACAGTTATCTATGTAACCAGTGTGGATACTAGAAATTTGGGGCTACTAAGGACCAGGCCTAGGGGTGACACACATCATTTTCATTCAGACTGCACTGATTGGAACCCAGTGCAATGGCCACATGTAACTGCAAAGGAAGCTGGGAAACGTCTAGTTACATGCCAAATAAAAAGAAATGAGTTTGGCGAATAGGCTGTCTCTACCTCATTTTCGCCCATTCTTGTTAATTTGTATGTAATTACAGAGAATGACAGAAGACAGAGCATTTAAAAAATGAAAGTTAAAAAACAAAATCCCACTACATATCTCACCATTGAGAAATAACTATCACTTACTACTAAGCAAATATCACAGATTTTTTCTATGCATAGAGATATACATACATACATAAAAAGGATAGAAAAAAATTATTAAATTGAGTGAAACCTAGTGATGTTTTAAACACCAAAGGCAGATTTACTTGACTGTATAGAGGGAAAAGAAACCCTTTTTGTACAAAAACAACAACAACAAAATTTAGCTGAATGTGTGGTATGTGCCTGTCATCACAGCTACTCTGGAGGCTGAGGTTGGAGGATGCCTTGAGCCTGGAGTTTGAGGCTGTAGTGAGCTATGATCATACCACTGCACTCCAACCTGGGTGAAAGAATGAGATCAAAAAAACTTTTTCCTCCTTTACCACAAGAAATACTATTTCCTCAAAGATACCTTTATGTTTAATAATAGAAATTACAAAAGCAAACAAGACGTTGAAGAGGTGAGACTGTCTTTCTAGTTGGGGTGCTTTTTAGCTGTAAGTGATGGAATACTCAAATCAGAGTGGCTAAAGCAATTCGAAATTTATTACTTCATGAAGGTTCAGATGCTAGGCTTTTCTAAGATTGGTTAATTTAACAATAGCCAATTCAGCTGTAGCACAGCATTGTTGACTTTTTTGTGATTTTCTTGACTTTTGCAGTCATGGTTGCCAGGTCACTGCAGTTGTTCTGAGGATCATGGTCTAACACTTGAGCATCTAAAGGCAGGAAGGGAAGACCTTTAAGAATGAGGAGAACAGCTAGAAAATTTCAACATCTGGCGTGGTGCAGTGGCTCACCCTGTAATCCAGCACTTTGGGAGGTGAGGCGGGCAGATCACTTGAGGCCAGGAGTTCGAGACCAGCCTAGCCAACATGGTGAAACCCAGTCTCTACAAAAAATACAAAAAATTAGCCGGGCGTGGTGGCGGACGCCTGTAATCCCAGCTATTCTGGAGGCTGAGGCAGGAGAATGGCTTGAACCCGGAGGCGAAGGTTGCAGTGAGCTGAAATCATGCCACTGCACTCCAGCCTGGGCAACAAGAGCGAAACTCCGTTTAAAAAAAAAAAAAAGCAGCAGCAGCCAGGAGCGGTGGCTCACGCCTGTAATCCCAGAACTTCAGGAGGCTGAGGTGGGCAGATTACCTGCTGTCAGGAGTTTAAGACCAGCCTGGTCAACACGGTGAAACCCCGTTTTGATTAAAAATACAAAAATTAGGCGGGCGTGGTGGCACGTGCCTATAATCCCAGCTACTTGGGAGGATGAGGCAGGAGAATTGCTTGAGTCTGGGAAACGGAGGTTGCAGTGAGCCAAGATTGTGCCACTGCACTCCAGCCTGGCCAATAGAGCAAGATTCTGTCTCAAAAAAAAAAAAAAGAAAGAAAATTTTAACTTCTGTTTTATTATCCTGATTGAAACCTATTCCAGGCCTAAAGCAGTCAGTGGCTAAAGAGAATGGTTTTTTAAAATTCCTTTTAATTGCCTTGGACTCTTCCATGTTTGCCTCTAGGCTGGGGAATAGATACACTTTTATGAGGACATGAGAAGGTGATCGTGAATTTTCTGAAGAAATCAGGACTTTGTCAGCAAGAAAGAGGTTTATGTTTAGTCACTGTTTGGCAGACTTATGTTTTTTTTTAATTACATGCGTCAGATTTTATATTGAGCTCCTACAGTGAAGGCTGCTAGTATCCCTATAGTCATTTTGCTTTTCCTGCTATCCAGGTTGTTTGTTTTAATTTTTATTTGTTCATTATTTATTTTTTTGAGACAGAGTCTCACTCTGTCACCTAGGCTGGAGTGCAGTGGTGCGATCTCGGCTCACTGCAACCTCTGCCTCTCCCGTTGAAGCAATTCTCCTGCCTCAGCCTCTCATGTAGCTGGGACTACTGGCACATGCCACCATGCCCAGCTAATTTCTGTATTTTTAGTGGAGACGGGATTTTACCATGTTGACCAGGCTGATCTCGAACTCCTGACCTCAAGTAATCTGCCCACCTTGGCCTTCCAAAGTACTGGGATTACAGGTGTGAGCCACCATGCCCTGCCAGGGTTTTGTTTGTTTTTGAAGACATTTATATTTTTTCAGGTAGCGACTTTCTCTTATGTAACATAATCCTCATAGTTGTGTAGGTATTTGTTTTGTATTTAAATTTGTTAGCTGCTCACTATTAGTCTTTTTACCACAGCTTCTCCAGTAAGTTCATTGTACCTCTTAAATTGGCTGAATTTTATTATTAACTTTTTTCAAGAATAAGTTGTTAGGACTTGTGTTCTCTGATTTCTTTCATAATGGAGGGCATTTTCTTTTGCCTTAATTTTTGAACTGTATCTTGGCTGTATATAATATTGTTGGGTCACATTTTATTTCTCCTAAAAACGTAATGGTCCTGGAATATTGCTGTGGAGATGACTAACGACACCTCCCTCTCCCTGTATTCTGCTAAGTTTAACTACAGTAAGTCTTGGTGCTGCACAATCTGTAACAGAATTGTTCAGAATTTTTTTTTTCCATTTTCATTTTATGGAATTTTATGTTTGAATATACCTTCTGTTCCCCACTCATTGAATTATCTGCTTGAGGGACACATGTTATCCTTATGTTTGATTATCTCTGTTTTTTATACCTATCAGATGCTGTGTGCCTGCTTTAATACCTTTTTTAAAATTTGCATTACTGTGATTATTTCAAACCTTTCTTTTAACACTTTAAAAATTTTCGGCAATGCGTATTCTTTTCCTTGCTGTTTCTATTGTATTTGCTTATTCTGTAATGATACTGTTTTCGTCTTAAATTTATTACTTTGATTATCTCCCTTCTTACCTTTTCCTATTTTATCTCATTCTTGAGCTTTGTTTGAACTCATGTTATATTTTTTATTTGGCATGCGGACAGTTTTGAGAAATATCTTCATACTCAGTTCTGTATGCTTCTAGGTTGTTATTTTTGGCTATCTCATGCACGTTAGACTCTGTATTTTTTTTTGCCTGTAGTTTCTTTGCCGTACAATTTTTAAAATGTTGTTTATGCTTGGTAGACTCACTTTTGACACTTATTCCATTATAATGTAGGTAATGTTTTGAAAATTTTCTCATCGTTTTTGAGATGATGGTTTAAGGGCTATGTATTTTGCATTTTTCTGAAGCCTGTGGGAATGGGAGGGGTACAGTATAAAAGCTTGGGAGGAGGGGTGCAGTATAAAGAGCTTGGCTTAGGGCAGTATGCACTTTTTGGTATAACTCCAGGCTGGGCTCCCTTTTTTAACACAGTACGTTATTAAATGTCTTGCACCAGGTTCTATATCTCAGGTGTTCAGGTGTATCTTAGTCTTATGGGGAATACCCTAGGATTCTGTTTTATTTTTTATTTTAATTGTAACTTTCTGAGACATGGTCTCACTCTGTCCCACAAGCTGGAGTGCAGTGGCATGATCATGGCTCACTGCAGCCTCCACCTCCTGGGTCCTCCGCCTCAACCTCCCAGTAGCTAAGACTACAAATTTGCACCACCACAGCCAACTCATTTTTGTGCTTTTTGTGGAGATGGGTTCTCATTATGTTGCCCAGGCTGATGTCTAACTCCTGGCCTCAAGTGATTCTTTCACCTAGGCCTCCCAAAGCACTGGAATTACGGAGGAGAGGCACTACACTGGGCCTGCTAGGATTTTATGTAATTAGTTCTTAGCCTTGATACTTTACTTCCAGTTAGCACCTCTTCACTTTTCCTCCTCTCACCTTCAGTTTTTCCTGTTTCTCCCCCGAAGCTAATACTACTCTTTAGGCAGAAAAAGTAGTTTAGTAGGTAAGAACACATAAAATTGTCTCTCTTCAGATTTGGGACTTTCGGTTATATTCTCAGAATTTTCGGGAATTAAGGGGTAGGATTAAGAGCTGAATCCTATAGCACAGTCTAGGGCAATTTCTACTCTAACCTGTATAACTCTACAGTAGTTAGTGATTCACACAATAGAACATTTTGGTTAAAATTATCTGACATTAAGTTTGACTTGCAATATGTAATTAATTTTTTATTTTATTGAATTCCTTTTTATATTTAGCTCATCAGTTTTAGCACTTTAGAGCACACCCTAACTTTATCTAATTTTGTTGTTGTTGTTGTTAGAGATAACTAATTCATCTATTTTTTGAGTAAACCCAGGAAAGAATTTTTTGCTGGAGTTTCTGTGCCTCTAGTTTCTGGAGAAATTCTCATGGTAGAGAAAAATCGGGTACTGTTCAGATGTGAAGTGCTATGTAAACTTTAAAGTGCTATTTTTAATTGTTCACAAAAGTATTTGGTGGTTTTTTTTTTTGTTGTTGTTGAGACAGAATCTCACACTGTTGCCCAGGCTCAGGTGCAGTGGCACGATCTCGGCTCACCACAACCTCCGCCTCCTGGGTTCAAGCGATTCTCCTGCCTTAGCATCCTGAGTAGCTGGGATTACAGGCGCTCGCCACCATGCCCGGCTAGTTTTTGTATTTTTAGTAGAGATGGGGTTTCACCATGTTGGTCAGGCTGGTCTTGAACTCCTGACCTCGTGATCCGCCCACTTCAGCATCCCAAAGTGCTGGGATTACAGGTGTGAGCCACCATGCCCAGCTGTATTTGGTGTTTTTAAGAAGAAAAAGTATATATTTTGCTGAATGTAAATGTGGCAAATAATTACAGACTTCAGTTGTTTATTAGTATTATTTTAGACTGATCAAGAATAAAAGAGCTGAACTTACTTAAAAAGAAACTCACACTAGTATTACTTGTTTGTAAAACAACACGATGATCAGAGAAAGTGATTTTTGATAGAAGTATTTGTTAATATTTTAAATTACTAGTTATAAAAAAATTATTGCGTATATGGGGTTATAGTTCAAATTTAAATTGGATTTTACTTATATTCGTTTTTAGAAATATAAAGAGAAGGACAAACACAAACAAAAACACAAGAAGCAGCCCGAACCATCACCTGCATTGGTTCCATCCCTGACTGTTACTACAGAAAAAGTAAGTTTTAAGAATCATATTTTGTTTTATGTAATAAGTAGGTATTTTGCTGATTTTCACCTCTAAAAACTGTTTTCATTCCCTAACTTTTCCCAGCTTTTCAACCACATATCATTTTCAACCACATAACTTAGAATTCTCATTTCTTTCTTTCTTTTTTTTCTTTTTCTTTTTCTTTTTTTTTTGAGAGACGGAGTTTCGCTCTTACTGCCCAGGCTGGAGTACAGTGGCGCAATCTTGGCTCACTGTGACTTCGGCCTCCCGGGTTCAAGCGATTCTCCTGCCTCAGTCTCCCAAGTAGCTGGGATTACAGGCACCTGCCACCATGCCCAGCTGATTTTTGCATTTTTCGTAGTGACGGGGTTTCACCATGTTGGGCAGGCTCATCTTGAACTCCTAACCTCAGGTGATCCGCCTGCCTCAGCACTCCCAAAGTACTAGGATTACAAGCATGAGCCACTGCACCCGGCCTAGAATTCTCATTTCTCTCTTTTTTTTTTTTTTTTTTGAGACAGAGTCTCGCTTTGTCACCCAGGCTGGAGTGCCGTGGCACAATCTCAGCTCACTGCAACCTTCACTTCCCTGGTTCAAGTGATTCTCCTGCCTCAGACTCCTGAGTAGCTGGGACTACAGGCGCGTGCTGCCGCGCCTGGCTAATATTTTGTATTTTTAGTAGAAACGGGGTTTTACTGTGTTAGCCATGATGGTCTTGATCTCCTGACCTCGTGTTCCGCCGGCCTCGGCCTCCCGAAGTGCTGGGATTACAGGCGAGAGCCACTGTTCCTAGCCTGAATTCTCATTTCTTACCTTATTCTACCTTCTGTTTATTCTGTGCTTGTCTCCAAAGCCTGTTGTTAAGTAAGGATAACAAGTGGGAACCATCATTGAGACAGATAATTTTGGCTGTGGGTGGACTTCATTCACCTGAGATTTTGAATTCTGACCTTGCCACTTACTGATTGAGTCTTTAGGTTAATTAACCTTGGTGTAACTCAATTTTATCATTTGTAAAGCGGGGGAAATTATTAATGAAATTGAATGATAGACTACATGTAAAGCAATTAGAACAGTTTCTGGTTCATAGTGAGAATTAGTAATTATTAAGTATTATTAGAATTACTATCTCGTGGTTAATATGAAAATAGAGGGAGACTGGGACAGAATAAGCAAGTCAGGAACTGCAGTAGGAGATGAGTCTAGGGTGAGGGGCCCATTATGCAAAGCTGTATAAACCAGTGTGAGGACTTTGTGTTTAGTTTGATCGAAAAGTGAGCTGTTGGGGGTTTCTGAATTGAGATGTAATGTGGTCTGACTTATTTTGAAAGGACCTCTGGCTGCTTTGTTTTGGACAGGCTATGGAAAGTCAGAATGGAAGCAGGGAGGCCATTAGCAAGGTATTTAGTCATCCAGAGAGAGATGGCGGTAACAATAGAGGTAGTGATAGGTGATCAGATTCTGAAAACAAAGGTTGAGCCCACATAATTTTCTTACAGGTAGGTTAGAGGCATATGAAAAAGAGAGGATCCATGGATGATTCCAAAGATTTTGGGTCAGATCACTAGAAGATACAGAGTTACTGTTAACAAAGACAGGAAAGATGGGGGAGCATACCAGGTTGAGGGGAAAGAGAGGAATTCAGTTTGGGATACGGTTTTAGTTTTCTATTGCAGATGAAATTACTACAATATACCAGTTTAAAACAACATAAACTTACTAGTTGTCATCTTGTAGGCCAGAAGTCTCGGTGGACTCAGCTATTTCCTCTAATTAGGGTCTCTCAAGGCCAAAATCAAGGTGTTGGATGGTCTGGGTTCTTATCTGCAAGAATCTGTTTCTACCATTAGTCAGGTTATTGGCAGAATGAATCTGCTTATATGCTTGATCAGGTTATTGGCAAAATTCGATTCCTTGTGATTGGTTGTAGGATTGAGGTGCCCATTTCTTTGCTGACTGTCAGGTGGGGGTCAGCTCTTGGCTTCTAGAGCCTCTCTTTATTTCCTTGTGCCATGTGTTACATGATCCCCTCCATCTCATAGGTAGCAATGGCATGTTGAATTGCTCTTATACTTGGAATTTTTTTTGCATGTCTTTTGCTTTTAGTTGGAGAAAGTTCTCCTTTTAAACTCATGTGATTAGATTGGGTCTACCTGAAAAGTCCAAGATAACGTCCTTATTTTAAAATCCATAAGTTTAATTACATCTGCAAAGCCCCTTTTGCCATGTAATATAACATATTCACAGGTTTCAGGGATTAGAATGTGGACATCTTAGTTGAGGGGTGCTGTCCTGCCTTCCACAGATATGTTGGGGTTGAGATATATCTATTAATATTAGACATCTAAGTAGATATACTGACTAGCCAGCTGAATACCTACCTAGTCTGGTATTCAGAAAAGAGGTCTCAACTTTGAATATTAAATGTGGGAATTGTATGCATATGGAGTTATTTAAAGTCACAAGACTGAATGATACCACTAAGGGAGAAGTGAGTGCAGGTAGAAAAGAGAATAGGCCTTAGGAGGCCCAGGACCTCCTGTGTTGAAAGGTCTGGAAGAGGAGGTACAACCAACAAAGGAGACTGAGAAGAGGCCAGAGTTTGGAAGAAAAGAGGATGTGGTGTGCTGGAAGCCAAGTTAAAGAAAGGTGGGGATAAGTGAACTGTGTCATACATTAAGGACTAGCCCTTTGATTTAGTCATTTGGAGGTCATTACTGACCTTTAACAGTTTTAAAGTACTGATTGAGGCACAAGCCTGATTGGAGTGCTTTATAGAGAGAATGGGATAGAAAAGTCAGACAGTGTGTATAAATGAGGAGCTTTGCTATGAAGAGGAGCAGAAGAATAGGGAAGTGGAGATAATGAAGGGTATTTTTAAAATAACATAAATAATAGGATGTTAGGTACACTAATAGGAATGATTCAATAGAGAGGAGGAGTAATGAAATGATAGACAGGAATATTGCTACAGTGATGTCCCCTAGAATATGAGAAGGGATGGGATTTTGGGGAAAATATCTTTTGATAAATCCAGAGTTTTTTCAGTAAAAAGCAATGCTTTTAGTTGTGATGATTTGAGTAGTATTAGATTTGAGTGAAGAAAAAAAGGCATGAGATAGTTAACTATAATAATGCAAAAGAAAATTGCGACGATGTTTACTGTGATTTCTGGGTAGTCACAATATTCCACCTGAGGTTCATGGTCAAGACTTAAAAGTGAGGCAGATTTACACAGCTTTTTGTTTTTCTCTGTTCTTGTCCATCTCTATGGATGTGGGCACAAAGTAGGATTTGGTCAGGTTGTTATTTTACCATCTAATATAGCGAATGAGTGAGGGTAAATGCCAGGGGGGTTATAATGATGGATCATTATATTTAAACCCAATGGGTAGAGAAATGAGGACAATAGATGAGGGGTAGTATATACTGGTTAATGTTTTCTGTGAAATTAAAGGATTGTTGAAGGCTGCACACAGTGGCTCATGCCTGTAATCTCAGTACTTTGGGAGGCTGAGGCAGGAGGATTGATTGAGTTTGAGACCAGCGTGGGCAACTTAGTAAGACCCCAAAGATTGTTGAAGTAGTAAAGAGTGAATTAGAAATATGAAGTGGTATTTAAGAGTATGATGTATAAAATGGAAATTATTGAAGGTTTGAGATTATTTAATCGTATCAGAATCTAGGATGTGATCAGGTCATGAGGGGCTCATGTGGGGCAGAAGAGAAGATCATTGGAAGAGAGGCTGTCAAGGAACAGAGAGACTGGAGGTTATAAAAGATTGTCTAGATGTATATTGAATTCTCTAAGAAGTAAAATAATAGTAGTGTTGAAGACTGACAGTAATGTAGGTCCTAAGGCAGTGGTTGGCAAACTTTTTCTGTCAGGGGCTGAATACTAAATATTTTAGGTTTTGTAGGCCATACTGGCTCTTTTTAGTGCTCAGACCTTTGCTGCTGTAGAACAGAGTAGCCATAGACACTTTGTAAACAAGCGAATGTGGCAGTGTTCCAGCAAAACTTTATGGACACTGGAACTTAAATTTCATATAATTTTCATATGTCATGAAATAGTCTTCTTTTGATTTTTTAAAAAAGCTATTTAAATGTGTTAAAATCATTCTTAGCTGTTGAGCTATACAAAAACAGGCGGATGACTAGAGGGCCTGTAGTTTGCTATATCCTACCCTAATGATGAAACCTAATGGTTGCTAATGTCTAGTGACATGAGAATTTTTTGCTGGAAGGTTTTAGAGAGTTATAGAATTAACACTGAGGAATGAGGAAACTTACCTCATTTCCATACCCAGTGATACAGGAGCTGTGGTAGCAAAGTAACATTGAGATAGCTACAGATTAAACAGTGGGTTTCAAGGTCGATCTACGTTTTTGTTGGAACAAGAATCAGAAGAGATGTTCAGAGAAAAGGATGGGGTACATTGCACCTTGTTCTCAGAGCACAGTGGAAGGCTTTCAGCTGTTGAAGGGGAGGCGCGGCAGGTGTGGACATGATAGGGGAGGTTCACAACTGTGGGGGATATGAGGCAGGTGAGGATGGACCTGGAGTCCTGATGACTGACATAAAAACAGGGAGAAAGTCATTATCAGATTGACCCTAGTAGACTTCAGGCAAATAAGATGAGGCCTTGAGTGTTTGAAGAGGTTGGGTAGAGAGGTAGTATGGGCTCCTTCTTGATCCTGATGGCTGGTAGAAGACTTCAGTCATAGGTTCCTTTTGGGGGAAGGGTGTCATTTTACTGTTGGTTCACCACACTCTTCTCTTGATGGAAAGATAGGGATAGCTCAGGGAAAGAAAGGCTGTTTTACCCAGATCTTTAGGGCTCCTTCTAGACTGTATGGATTTTTAAAAATTATTGATATATGGTAGTTGTACATATTTTGGAGGTACATGTAATATTTTGATACATGTACACAATGTGTAGACTCCATGGTTGATGGTGGTAGAGCACACGTAAATTGAAAGTCAAGGGAACTTTAATTCGCTA